CAGTAGGATCGACGTAGTGTAATTCGTAGTGCATGGCCGTTAGGTCTTGTACATCGACACTAAACTGATGGCCAAAATCGTTCACGATTGACTCCACCAAAAACTTGTTGAATGTCACAATTAGATGCTGTAGGTCCTTTGAATTGAGTGATTTGCCATCGTCCTTGTTGAGAAGCCCATGGTTCTTGGCAATGTTGCTTTCATTGAGTATGAGAGAAAAGTTCGAAATGTTGACATTTCTGGCACCTGCCTTGTACATCATGTCAAAAAGGTAACCTAGCTCGTTGAGCACGGAAGTTCCTTGCGGGTTGTTTCTGTCGTGAATTGTCTTCTGGTCATTGGGCAAGTACTCTGATAAAAGGCTTTTTGTGACCGTATTGTAGAAAATGGGGATGTAGCGGTAGACTTGAAGGAGTGAATTCGTGTAAGAGTTGTCTAAGTGATTTTCAAGCCCCGCCAATTGTCCATTGGACCGATTGTAGTAGTCGAAGTCGAAATCGTCGACGCCAAATCGAGAATAATGAATATCAAGCCGGTTATAGCACGGGGGTATTTGCGTCGTGGGATCCGGCTTATACTGGAAAGTGGAGTCGTCATCGGTGCTTTCATTGTTTCTTGGATTGTTTGTTGAGCCGTCTGCATCAATTTCGCTGAAATCGTGAAATGTGGCAAAGGCAGGGAGCGATGGCGAATCGCCCGGTGCAGGTGAGGACGTCATGCTGCGCTCACTAATGAATTTTGGGATTGTGGTGAGCTTCAGCTGATTGGGCCCGGCTTTTGCGTGTGTGCTCTTCTTCAACGCAACATATGGCGGCTCGACGTATCGAGATCCATACTTGGTCTTGTCATACACGTATCTCTGAGGGGTCAGCTTCTGCGGCATTTTCTGTAAGCAGCTTTCGGTCACATGTCGAGGAAGTTTGGCGGTCTCCTTAGTGAATATCAAATCAGCAGGGAAATTCGACGCCAAGTATTCTTTGTAGTAGGGCATTCCCACCGAATTGAGTGGCACTTTTTCGTCGAGCCCCACACGGTTTCTCGCGGAGACGGTGTTAGAAGTGATGTCCGGCTGGTCGAGCGTCGTTGGGAAGTTGAGGAAGTTCTTGCTGGCCGCGGAGCCGAGCGACCATAAATGCAAGTTTTTACAGCCATCACTAAAGCAAAGAAACTCGCCGTTTTCACTCACGTTGAGATTTGCTAGGTACAGGCTTGTGGCCGCGGCGATCAGGCCATGGCTTGGGCCGGAGCTTGTGAGGTCCGCCTGGTAGAGGTGCACCACCAGCTGGTCATAAATGTCAACAAACTGGATCTGCCCCGTTGAAGACGCAATGACGACAATATTGGGCAATTTAGGGTGGAACCGGACGAAACTGGCGCCAGCGGAAAACGGGATCGGTGAAAGCGCCCGCATCGTACGCAAGTCGTATATGTTCACGAGCGGGTCCACCATGTACTCCAAGTTGTTTGAGGCAGAGCCATATCGGTGCATTCTGGCCGAGTAGCCGCATGTGGCGACAAAGTTACCCTTCACGTCCAAATCCGATAACAAACCATTGTGGCCCGCGAATGTCTTGACTATCTTATTGGCTGCCGGGTCAAAGATTTCAAGTGAGCCATTACTTCGACCAAGAGTAAGGAGTTTCAGCAGGTAGTGTATGTGCAGGATGTCTCCAACATGGTTAAACTGCTGGAGCAGCGTTGGTTTACCCAAGTCGAGCTTAAAGAGCGAGCGGGCGCCGCCCACAATGAGATCATTTGAGGTCGAGTACGCTAATGTCATGCAGGAAAGCTTCTCGAATGCAGGGGAATCCGAAAGTGGTAACATGTCGGCGGCTACCGCCACATTTGACATACCACGGCGCTGGCTGAACCCCACAGCATTCCGCTGGAGTGATAGAATGCCTCGCTGATGGTTCATGAGCTGCACCACGGGCCCGGGTCGGCCCAGCAGGCGGAATTTCGTGTACCTGTATAAAGGAACGACCCTGGCCGGCCCAAAAGCGGGCGAATCGAGCGGCGGCGTGAACGATGCAGTGAATCCCAGCGCGTCGCCGCACCAGAGCAAGTTCAGGGTGTTATCAAACTGTAGCGCCGTGATTTGTGGCGCGTCAGGGCCTGTTGAGGCCGCGCCATTTCGGGCGGTTGCAGGGATGCGTGACACCTAAAGGTTAGTAACGAAAATTGGCAGATGTGAAAAAAGAAGCATTTTTTATTGTTTTTGATTGCCATTTTGGGCAATTTATGGCGTGGTGGTGTGGTTTGATGGGACCTTTGTCAAACCCATATCAACCCGCGAGACGTGCTCAGAACCTGTTGTTTACGGCCAAGTTTAGATGCCGCATGCTAATCAAATATTTTTGACTGGCCATCATCAAAGCCTCTGATATTAGCTGCAATGATCAATTCTCGACTTTCTGTTTCAAAACGTACTTCTCCCCAACCATCCATGGTGTTGTGCTTAGCTACGCAAATAGCTCTGTCCGCTATCGTACGTTTGGCATGGCCATGGGTCGTGCCGCGCAGAAGTCACTGAGGAGCGTAGACAGGCTGGGCGAAAATGTGGGATATAGAGTTTGTTGGAATTTTTTCTGGTCAAAGATGGGTTCCGCATCGGGTTTATTTTGATTTCGGCTTTTTTTATGCTATATTGTCTATTTTTCGCCATTTTGACGTTCATCTATCCAAAGCTACATGTAGAATACACGTCCCGTGGAGCCAGCAATTGGTGCGAAGTCTAGATAAATATATATCCAAGCTATCGCGGCTAGGCGACATGGCTCTTTCTCAGATAATGGCACAAGGAACAAGTCTAGAGTAACGGAAGACGCAATTTTGTTTACAAATTTTATATTTTGGACCTTTCGGGTCCATTGACGTGGATTAGTTGAGAGGAAATGGTCACGTGCATGGTCACGTGCAATACCCGGGGTTTGTTTTTTTCTTTTTATCTTTTGTTTGTTCTGTTCGGGCAGCAGATTGTATGCATTAAGGTCTGGATTCCTTGCACCGTTATCAGGAGATATGAAAGAATGGTACGTGATCATTTAAAGATAATTAACATGCATCATACAATCAGCACATTTCCATCAATGAAGTTCCTGCAGTACGAGTAAGGGCTTTTCGCTATCCCAGCTTAATCTGGATGATGGGGCCCAAAAAATCCTTTGTCTCATTACTGCGAATGGCTAGGTACGAACCGAGTAAATTCTTAGCAATTCGTGATTGCTTCGCTCAGGATTTGATATGTAAACAAGCCAATTTGAATCACGTGCCGCGCCCTTGTTGCTGCTGACCCCCGCGCCCTTGTTGTGGTGGAGCCGCGGTCACGCCCGGTGGGACTTCTGAGACAAGTCAGCCACCCAAAGTAGCTTATCGCCCCCGCCGCAGTCACGTGACGCGGAATCGGGCATGCATCCACTCAGCCAACAGCCTTGCCCTTTATTTCATATAATGATGATATTACATTGTGCTATATTCTACTCGTATCCCTATTCGTTGTGACATCAGCAAAGTCCTCAAATGTAAACATGGTCGGTGTCATAACCACTATCGGCAACATGGGTAGTTATCCGAAAACAACAATGGTGGGCCTCGCTTATCGGCAGGCCCGCAACGCGCGCGCTGCTGCCGGGTCTATTTGCACCATAGTGGGTGACTGTATTGCGCATGTGGCCAAACAAACTTTTGCTATAAATAAGACCCACCCACGTTTTCTTTAGTGAGCCCACGTTTCTTTTGAGTTCGAGTTTCCGCTCAAACGCAATCTTCATACAAATATCTCTCTTTCGTCAATTTCTTACTGATAAATCGCCTGTGTCGTGCCTGCGTGCCGTGTCGCCACTTATCTCTCGCTTATCTACACAGAACGAGTCGTCGAATACACCCACACCCACACTTTGTTGTTTACGTTGTCTATCATAGACTTCTGAGATTTCTGCCCATCTTTACTACCTCAAAATTCCAAAAAAAACACCATGTTTAAGATCCCGCTTCCATGGTTTAGAAAGGGGACCCAACCGCTTTCACCAAGCGAGGTACCCAAGTCATTTACTATGGCCGGTGGCGACGATAATCATCTTTATAAAGTTTCCATGGAAAACACGTATGCCGATTTCGTTGACGTGGACTACAAAAGGCTTTCTTATGCTGAGGCTGCTGCCTTATCAAAGCACAGAAAACAGACATCACGTGTTTCTCTGTCCAAAAACGGATTTGAGCACGTGGCCCGGCCCACCACAGAATTGCAGGCGAAATTGGAAGTGTCAGAAACAGACGACGAGTATCTCCCCGAAAAGTTCAAGACAAACAATTATTTTTTGAAGAATAAAGTGTATAAGCTGAGCGACAGAAACCCGAAGAGAAAGTCGCTTTAGTGCAAATTGTTGGTCTTTTCTTTGTTGACCCTGGTGGTGCAGACAATGTGACACTTGTCTGAGGCAAAGATCTCGCCTTTTTACCCTCCAACTGCTGATTTATTTTTCCCTATAAGATATGATATGCTGTCTTAGTTACTTTCGCTATGGCTACGCTAAAGCTGCAAAAAAAAAAATGAAAATACTCGAGTCGTTCGCTTCAATTCTATGCCCTTTTATACGCCCTCCGTGCCCCTTATTTATCTACATACTCTGAAAGCCCCTAATATATTCAACAAACAAAGGTATGAAGAACTTTTTCTCCAAAGTTATCAAGAATTTTTTTTTTTTTGATTTTGGTTAGTTGCATCTTTCTTTGTATTCAAGAACATCAATCCTGAACCTATCTACGAGCCCGTATTTCCTACCTGGGTGAAACGCGTATTTGCAAGAGACGCGTCGAGCGGGAAAACAGATCGGGAGAAATCGGGTGTCCACGACATTTTACCGCATTTTTCTCTGGAAGATTGCCTCGTAAGATTGGCTCTTGGTTTCGTTCTATGAGAACGGGTTGAAAACTGGAAAATAAAAGCAATTATCATAATTATCTAGGGTCAAGTCATTCACGCATCAAAAATCAAAAAAGAACTCCGATACCGGGAGTCGAACCCGGGTTTGCTCGGTGAAAGCGAACCGTGCTAACCGTTACACTATATCGGAGAACAGTGCATGATATGCTTGTGAGCCTATCTCAGTTTGTTAGAGTGTTGTTTCAATGTCTTTTCACCTCCTACTTTTGTCCGGAGGCACCGTCCTCCAGCCTCTTCTGAATAGACATTTGAAAAAGGCGTTGGAACGAAGTAAAATACGGACGAGTTGACACTACCTATACAGCGGCTAGGATAAGGAGGAAGACCTAAGGCTTGGGAAAGTCGGGGGACTTCATTACTCAGTGTTAATCAGTAATAGCAAAGTGAACCCCAGGAAGTCACAGCTCTTGGGTTTTCATCCGGACTTTGCTGATCATTTTCAACACGAGCTCCCGTATACACAAACGTACGTGAGAGATAAGGACTTGAAGTACTTGGGATTACCGTTGAAAGGTGTTGACTGGAGTGCTGTGCGTGCTAAACTCCCTTTCATCAGCTTCAAGCGAGGATACTCCCAACTAGATGTCATAACAAAAGCCAAAGCTACGAATATGTACGTGAGCTCGACATTGGTATACAAAGATTTGGTGCAGTGTATGTCCAAGAAGGAAATCAAGGCTATGGATGATGCCATACAAAGAGTGTTCTATGGTATCGGAAGGGATAAGCTTTATGCTCGCCCGAAGAAGGCGGGGGGTATGGAGTCATAGAACTTGCGGTTCAATTGCAAGGACACAGAGCAGCGGTACTAGCAAATACCTTGATGGGTGCAACTGATTGGTACACAGGATATTTGAAGTTGAAAATGCTACACCACATGAGCAAGATCATACACCGACTGGCAGAAGTACCAGTACACCGAATAGAAGGATTGAGCTGGCTTGAATTTTTGCTCGACACAGAGCGGATGTACTTCAAAAACCTCGACTGGACGTTCACGCATAGTGAGAGAATGTATCTAGAAGCCTGGCAAAAGACTGTACCTGGTACACGGGTGGTGGCCCGGCCTGTAAGGGTGGGGTCCATGGAAACCGGTGCGATCCAGGAACAAGTGAAACAAGCAATAAGTATCGGAGAGACACAAGGAAAATTCCAGATTTCCAACGAGGAAGCAGGTGGGTTGAGGGCCGATGCATTCCGATCGTTGAGTAAGAAAAGCAAAGAGAAAGCCCCAGTGGTTCGGCCAAGGAGATTTCTGGAAATATGCGGGGAAGCCAGAAAGCCGCAACGCTGGAAATAGTTCTGGAAAGAGATGTACAAGCATGAGTGGCTTTTAAGAAATGACTTAACAGCGCTTCATCACTTCAGCTACGGGTCCTATGTGCCCATACACGATACACCGAAGGTTGGAAGGGACATGGAATGTCTCTTGTGTTTAGAAACAGTGTCTTCAAAGGCTATGTTAGCTCACCTCTACAATGAGTGTACATGCTTCAGATACTGGTGGAACAAACTAGGCTTTCCGAGGCCAATGAACTTGAGAGAAATGCTTGCACCTACTGATAAATCATTTACAAACTTGCGCAACCTCAATTGGTTTGTGAAAGTGGTACGTAAGGCGTATTCAGGACGGCGCCGGGAGGCGGAGAATGGTGTTAGTCTCGCCCCCCTCCTGAATCGACTATTGTCTCGCGCTCTAGGGAGGACCAACCCCATGGGCCGATGACAGTCTGTTGAGTCTGATTAGTTGAGTTCATTCTGGGTAGAGGTCTCAAAGCGGATTCATTTCCGATGAGGGACCTCGTGTCGGCAAACGATGCCTGGGGTGAAGTTGCGATCTATTATAGGTTTTTTCTATATGTTGTATAGTTTTTGCGCTTGTTTGGGTGTGCCTGTCATACTCTAACGAGAGCGTCCTATAACGTGAGGTATTAGGGTTCGAGCATCGCGGTAATGCGAACAGGGGTGCGAGCGCCGCGGAAATTATCACTATGTGTGCTGTTCTAGAACTCATAAGTCATCCAGAATACCTTCTTATTTTTTTTAAATTAATTTATATGAAAGACTGATGATTGAAGTTTGACGGGATAGATTTAGGAGAAAATTTGGAAAGTTTTGGCGGGGCTATAAGTATTTTTTCAATGACCCAAGAAAATGCGACAAATGCACCAAAACGTCCATCATCTTTGCGTGCGATTTATGCAAAATTTTTGCGGATCGACTAAAGTTTCAAGTTGCTTGCGCTTTTCGGGGCATCTACGATTTGTGAGAACCGTTCTTTCCGGCATCTCCGCAAGTCTGTGTGTTGCGTCCAGATGAGATCAAAAAGCATCGAAAGCGGCGGGAGTCGCGCATTGAGCGATCAAGACGCGTCCAGGGGTGATCCATATTTTTGCAGCCATACCAGAATTTGCGGAGTTTTCATGTCCGTATCATACACAAAACTTTTGGCTGATTACGTGATTGCTTTAGAACACAAAGTTCGAAAGAAAGGTAAATTTATCGATGCTACATGCATACATGCACTAACTCCATGGCGTCCTGTCAGGTCGCTCAGAGGTCGAATGCTTTTATACGTATCTCCAGCTCAGAAAGACATGACGGAGACTAGTCAAAATAGCTCGGAACAAACCTTGGTCAATACAGCCTTGTCGACAATGATTTGATTTCGTGATGGGACCCCAAGACAAGTTTACAAAGGCAACGCCGACTCGTATCAGCGCTCAAGAGCCTACAGTATATGGCAAAGAGACAAGGTCGGCAGTCGAAGTGGCTCGTTACCTTGACTTTCTCTTTGTTTGCCTTTCTTGCAACCTCTTGTTGCGGGTTTACTCCTGAAGCGACAAATTGCCGCCGCAAATTATAGAGCTGTTCAGTCCCAGACGCGTTCTTTGAAAGCTCACTATCAAACCCAGAACGCCTATTCCGAATCCGAAAGGACGAAGTGTCTTGGCTCGACACACCTGCAAATTGTACGAGGAGTTCTAGGAGCAATACGGAGCTAAACATGTTATTGTGGCATCTGGCGTGGATGACCTAATAGTTTCTGTGAAGAATCAAGCTTTCAGGGCTGTGCCCAGTTAAAAAGAGGTGATTCTTACAAACAGATGATCACAAGATTCTCCGTGTAGAAGGAAGCAAAAACAAATTGTGTCAGAGAACACCTAAACATGACGTGTGTCTCTAATGACAATGTGCTCGAACGTTTTCCTCGCTTCCAGCCTCCCGCTTCGCGCGGCAATCGTCTTAAGGAACAAATTGCTTGACTCTTGGGGCCCAATGGAAAGCCACCACGAAAGTTCAGGATTTGCAAAAAAACAGGTCATAAGAATTTATCATGCCCCAAAGAGCTTGGGCGGCTCGAAACTTTAGTTTATCCGCAAATATTTTGCGTGAATTGCACCCAAAGTGAAGGGACGTTTTGGTGCATTTTGCGCATTTTCTTGTGTCATTGATTGAAAGCTCATATCCCCGCCAGAATTCTCCGAATTTTATTCAAAAATCTTCCACACAGACATCAAAGATGAGGCTACGTAATGGTTCAATTACAAGAAAATCAAAAGTGATCTAGATGACTTACGAGTTTTAAAACAGCACACAAGGTGATATTTTCCGCGGCGCTCGCACCCCTGTTCGCATTACCGCGATGCTCGAACCCTAATACCTCACGTTAATGTGATATATCTTTAAAAAAAAAAAAAAACCAGACGTATGCTGGTTTTTTGTCTATAGATATATAGATTTTTGACCGTTTAACCGCGGTTTCCTGTTAATACGATTTGTTTCTTTAAAAAAAAAAAAAGCATTTGAGCGCTTTTAGCTCTTCGCGATATTCGATTAGCATTTCGTGCTCTAAAGTCTTCTTATGGCATATACCAGTGGCGCCATTAGAAGCCTTATCTGGCAGAACTAAGTGATTCTCTTTCGACAGGACAACAACTCAGGGTTTCGACTCAAGAAAGCTCATGATGCAAGCATATTCAATGCCTGTGATACTCAGGAAGTCAAGTAACTACTAAATGGGAGTTCGGGATTCTATGAGTGGTCTTATAGTGAAAACATGTATACAAATTGTTTCTTATCCTGGGCCTGCCTAGAAGAAGCTCATCTTTAAAGCATGTGCGACCGCCAACGTCAAAGAGTGCCTTATCTAGGGCCTTGAAATGAATTCTTTTGTCTGGCTGTTTCCTAATTGCGATCGTTGTGGTCTACTGAATACTCAGATGAGAGCACCCTATGATGTGACAATGTTTTGGAACCAAAAAATGAGGTATGGTGTGACTGTGGTGTGGTCTGAATCTAGTCTTAAATTTAAGTGATACGCTCCATATGCATTCATTTTCTCGATGCAAATTGTTTTTTTTTACGGATACTTGTGAATGCAGATTTGGTACAAAAAGAGTAACTTCGTTTTTGATACCTCATTGTCAAGAATAGAAGAGTTTTTGGTGAATGCATCTCATAGTGTGATTTATCTCAAAGGACAAAATTTCACTCTTTCTTTCTTTCTCGCGCCCTTGTGGTAACTCGAGAGATGCATGGCTTTTTCTCAAGTGAAGCTTAGTCATCGAAGAAAGTATGGATTTCATGGCGAGCCACTAATATGCGTAACATGGTATCTTTCTTGACTTGATTATGGTCAGTTCATGAAGTACAACATTCATTTGTGCTCTGACTTTATGTCCCGAGTTGATTTTGGCTCCCTTGTCTAAACTTTAAGTCGATTGTTGAAGCTGATTTTCGCTTGACTTTGGAAATCAAGGAAGCAGCTGTGGAAAACATGTGAGCACCTAAAAGGATCTCCTCAAACGTGTTTTTGGATTGGACAGCTTTTTTCTTAAACCCGACTCTGGAGGCTTCAAAGCTGAATGGGACGAGTTTTCCTCCTTTTGCTATGGTTTCGCTTGATTCCTTGGGGCTTAGTTGTTCATGGGATCCAACCGGTAGCAAATTTGTTTCTCAGCTTTCAACCTTTATGCGATTATTTTGAGTGTTGGCCCAAATCTCCTTTTTTTACGTATTGCAAAAAGAAACGTTTTTTGCAGCTGCATATGCGTCAAATGCTTCGGGTGACCCTCCTACTCCTCACTGGTTTTTTTTTTTTTTTTTTTTTTTTTTTTGGTAAACTTG